TAATATATAAGTTTTTATTAAAAAAATTAAACTTTTTAATAAAAACACAAGCAAATTTGCCTGTGTTACAATTTAAGTGATAGGTTTTTACACTGCTGTTATGGCTATGGGGCCTAGTCATCAAATATGAGCTCTTAATCACCAAAGCAAGAGGTCTTTGCAATATCTATGAAGCCAAAGAGTATAATAACCAAGCATGGATCTTTACACTATCTGTAGCAGCTGCAGACCTGTCAGCGCTAACTAATAAACAAGCATCAATATACTACTTTTTGGTTTGCAAATTACCAAAAGACAGGTAGAAGTGATAGAATGAAAAGAAAGATAGTCTTCTTTGCCAAAAGCCTAAAATGCTCTTACCTTGACATTAACAATCTCTTCTTTTTTACGTGCTGATTACACATTCAGAACTATAAAATAACTCTTACTATTCTAATAATCATAGTAATTTATATTTTAAAATCATATGAAATTACAGACATCTAACAAAAAAAAACTGTAAAAACTAAATGGGCTTGATAATTATGATTTGTGTGAATGAATATCTTTTCTATATGGTAATAGTCTTGCTAGATAATAAAATTATGTATATAACAAAAAATTTTGTATTATAACAATAATGATTGATCATATGATTGATTATACAATTGTGCAAATAATTATGATTACATAGTTGCATTTAAATCAATAATTTTTATAAATGATCGATCATATGATTGATTAAGAAAATTTTCACTAATTGCCATTTCTACACAATATACTATATATTTGCAAGATTTGAATGATTTTTTTTTTTCTTTTTTTCCTTTCAGACAACTAATAATATTTTAGTTGAGATTAGTCTTATTAGAATTAACGTTATTAGAGACATTATTGGAGTTGTTGATACTGAAGACGTTAAAGTTGCTTTTACTGGAAATATTGTAGATATCAGCTTTAACTGTCTGTTTTAATACAATCTTTATAGGTTGATGTCATTATTTATATAGCTGTTAGGGTTTATAATTTAATTTTTCTTTTCATGTTGTCAGTATTCTTTTGCACTACCTATTTTTGTTTCTAGTGTTTTATTTTGTTGTATATTAACTCTCTTACTTCTCTTTTCAGTTAATTATGTATGACTCATCTTTTGTTAGTATATCTCTGATATTACGTATTGTTATTGTGGATTAGTGTATTACTATTTTACCATTACTAGAAATACTATTATTTATTTATTTGATATAATCATCCTTTTGGTACGATGTTGTTGAGATGCTATTTAATTACGTTCTTGTTAATGCTTTGCTTATAGTGTGTACTAGTATGATTCATTTGTTATAATAAGAATTAATATAGTTGGTTATAATATATAGTAGCTTGTTTGTTAAGTTAGGGTTTGATAGTTGGTTATAATTAGATAATTATATATTAATTAGTTTGGTAGCTATTTTGAAATTATTTGTTTCATATATAGTTTGCAAATTTTAAAAAACATTAATAAAGAGGTGTGGTGACTTAGTGTAGTGGTCTAGTTGTTACCCTCTCCAAGTGGCAGGTCTAGAGTTTGAATCCCACAGACAACGATATTTGAAAAATAGGCTTGTGTTCGGTTAACGGCTATGCATATCGGTTGGATCTAATCTGTAACTTCAGTCACACCATCTAGTAATGGGAGCAATGGCACAATAAATCCAAGGAACTGGCATAACTGAAAACCCATTTGAGAAGTCCCAAGTTAGGAGTAACAATGATCTTCGATGGTATCACAAGAGGCTGAATTCGAACCAGGGCCCGAGATCGGAGAACTGAATGACCAGGTCCTAATGGCAGAGGACATACTAGCTGAACTGCCGGGTTCTGTCGCACTGGAGGAAAAGGACATACGCTCCGAAAGTATGTACCAAAAGGAGGGCGTCCTTCAGGCACCTAAAGCCTGTGCAGACCAACCCTTCTGGGTTGCCGGCTGGAAGTAAGGGAGAGACCGATAAAGAATCCGGGTAAAAAGACGGTCTGAATGCAGGTACCAGGATTGTTGGGAACCTAATAAGGGCGGAAGTAGATAATTGCAGGGGTTCAATGGTTAGCCCTGACCCCAAGTACATGGGTAGAGCTGTGGCATAGATTACTGAAGTCTAGATAAAGAACACATGTGTGGAACATGTGATATCTAGCAAAATGGAAATATCCCGCCATCCAATAATCCAGAAGCATCTGGAGTCAGGGTAAGCAAACTTCACAAGATGTGAGGACCAATGATAAGGTAAATGGGGTTAATACGACTATACTGGACCGTAAGGTTTGGTACGTCTCACTCAAAGTGGTTCTAGAAGTTCAGGAACTGAAACACCGCAGGGGAAGGAACCTGGGACATCTGCGGTAAGGGATGACTAATTAGGAAGGTTGTGGCTTGAAATACAGATCAGGTTTTGGCAGTACCTTAAAAGGTAGCTTGAGATATGAACTCGGTGATGGCAGCATAACAGGTACTAGTTAGGAATTTGTAACC